TGTTGTTTCTGGTGTCTGATACTAGTGTCTACTGTCATCTCAGTAGTAAATTACTACCTTCTTGGGGAGGTAGTAACTTACAATATAAATCTCATTTTTTTTTTCAATAGCTCCTACAGAGGGTTATGAGTTTTCCAAAAACTATTTACTATGCCTTTTTTCACAGATTCTCAAGGGAGAGGTGAGAAAATTAACTTTTAAAGATTTTAACTAATAAAATCAACAGAAAATAATGAAATCAGCCACATTAACAACAACAACAAAAAAAAACCTCTTGTTTCATTAAAAAAAAAAAAAAAAAAAAAAACCTTATTTTTTAAAAATAGTTTTAGGTTTACCAAAAAAAAAGTAGACAAAGTGCAGAAAATTATATTATTTTCATTCATTTATTTTCCATCTAATTTGGGCTAGGGGTACAGAGTTAGATTAACCACAATCTTTGGTTTAAGACACACACTACTCTTCATTAGACCATTATTAGCTTGTTTTTAAATATGTTTGTTTGATAGTAAATTAAACAATAGTATTTCACCAGAAAATTTTGATCTAGAACTTGATGAAACTTGTAACTTCCTAACTCATCCCACCCTAGCCTCTCACCTCATGTCATCACTAATCTAAACCTTGGGTCTGTCACTTTCTTGCTTGCTTCTAAAGGTAACATGTGTCCAATCAGTAGGAGTCCTTGGGCAAGTTTTATCACCTAGAGAGGTGCTCTTAAAAAAACAGTATATGTATAGAGAGAGAAAGAAGGGAAGGAAGAGAGAGTTCATGATAGTTGTTTTTCATTTTCTAGGAAAAGACCTCATGATATAAATAAACATTTCTGGAATTCAGTTTTTCTACTCAACAAAATATTGCTAATATATTGTTCATCTAAACTCCCATTAAACATTGTATTATTTTGAAGCAAGTCTCAGACATACAATCTATAAATATTTTCATATGCTGCTTAGATTTAAAAAAAAAAAATCTAAAATCCCAACATCATATTTATTCCTTAAAATTGTCATATGTTGTTGTTTTGCCATAGAGTCGGCCCTGACTCATAGCAACCCCTCCTTGGGTTTCTGAGGTGGTATCACTATGGAAGTAGATTGCCCAACCTTCCTTCTGAGGAGTAGCTAGTGGGTTTGAACCACCAGCCTTCTGGTTAGCAGTCATGTGCCTTAGGCACTATGCTACCAGAGCTCCTATAAGTTTCCAAAAACTATTTACTATGCCTAAAGTTCCAATTGCCTCATGCTTTTTCTAACACTGAGCCCCACACTGTGTAGTCAAAGTTGAGTCTGAGAAGTTGTAGGCAGTTCCTTCTGGCTGCAGTGAGCTATTTTTCTGGGTCGTCCCTGAAGCTGCCATAATCTGAAGGGTTGGGAACACCACAGGGTGCCGAAAGAGACATACCAGGAAGGAGCAGGGACACTCAGCTACATGGTGCCCAGGGCTGAGGACCAGAACAGACAGAAGAACCCAGAGCAATACTTTGCACTGTCCTTACCTAACCCTTCATGTCAGACCTATCTCCACCATTTATTTTCTGTTTATATGCAAATAGATCTCAATATTGTTTAGTCATAATTTGTACAAAACTATTTATAATTCTTATAATTCATTTAAAATATTTCTATTTCAATTCTTTTTTTATTTTTATTTATTTACTTTGCACCTTGTTGTTGATGTGTTTAGTCTTCTAGTGAATGAGTCTTCTAAAGGAATTGCCATGTGGGGAATCAGATCTCTGCTAAAGCATAGCAGTGGTCCCTGCATTGTCATGCTCTGCGTAGGTCTGGCCTTAACATACGGGCAAGCAGCAGGGCTGGACTAATTGCAAAGGTGTCAGAATCACACAAATGAGTAGACTGGGATTGCTTCTTTCTTATCTGTGACAGTGTTTGTTGATTTGGAGTTCATGTTTTTAACAGTAGCATTTAACAGGCAAGAGGACATTCACAGGAAATTTATAACTTTCTGAAAAAAGTATTAAGTAGTGTCTTTATACATACTTGTGGCCTAGTAATACAGAGCTTGCTTACAGTTTGTGGTAGTTAAGGATGTATGTCAACTTGGCTGAGCCTGGTTGATTGGCTGGACAGCTAGATGTAGTTATTCCCCATGGTGAGATTGGTAATTAACTCCATGGTGGAATCTACTGGAGCAGCTGAGTAGCTGCTTTAGGGATATGGGCTGCTTCTAGTATATAAGAAGCAGCTTGGAGGAAGGTGTCCAGCAGATGGCACCCTTGAACCCTGCATGTAGCCAAGTCGTTGTTCAGCAGCCTGCCATGTTGCTCTGCCGATCTTGGGACTATTAATGGACTTGAATTAATGGCCTGTCATGTGGTTTGGTAATATCTGGGCTGTGCCTTTTCACTTGTCGACCTTGGGTTTGTCAGCCTAAGCAGCTAGCAGCTGCCTGAGTGAAAAGATGCCTCTAGCTTCAGTGGGCCAGGAGCCCAAGGTTGAGAGGCTTTCCCCGAGTCCCTAGAGCCTGGCATCTGGAACTCAGATTTCTAGCCTCCAATTTTGTAAGAGAACAAATTCCTGTTTGTGCAAGCCATTCCATTTTTGGTATATTTCTGTTAGAGCAGCACTAGGTGACCAAAACATAGTTCAAAGCCACCATTATGTGTCAGATAAATGGGTGAAGTTTAGAATCACTTGATAAGGGAATGACCTTTATACTCAGCAGAAGCATACTTACATGTACACACAACATGTGCCCGGTACATCTGTTCTCATTAGACATACAGGTAGTCCCCAGGTTACCAACTTCTGATATATAAACAGTGCCTACTTGACCTTTTTTTTTTTTTTTTTTGGTAACTTTTTATTATGATTTGGGTGGAAGTTTACAAAGCAGATTCATTTTACATTGAACAGTTCATACACATTTTGTTTTGTGACACTAATTACATTCTCCACAGTATAGCAGCTCTCTTTCCACTTACTCTCTATGGTTACCCTTCCCTTGTGTCCTTTTAGGAGCTCTGGTGGCGTAGTGCCTAAGGCATGTGACTACTAAGCAGAAGGCTGGCGGTTCAAACCCACCAGCCACTCCTCGGAAGGAAGATTGGGCAATCTACTTCCGTAGTGATACCGCCTCAGAAACCCAAGGTGGGGTCGCTATGAGTTGGGTGCAACTCGACAGCACATAACAACAACAGCAACAATTAAAACAATCAGACATCCAAGATCAGAAGGGCAGCACTTATCCAGGGATAAAGCTCAGAAGGCAGGAAGGGATAGGAAAAAAGGGCAAATGGGAATGATAAACACAGGGAGGAAGTGGGAAGAGTGTGATCAATGTCACAAAAGAAAAAGTGTATGAATTGTTGGACGAAAACCAATTTGATCTGTATACTTTCACCCAAATCACAATGGAAAACAAAATTTTTTGTTTAAAGAAATAGTATATGAGATAGCAAGTAAAATGTTAGGTTTCAATATTTAAAAAAAAAAAAAAGTTAAAAAGAAGTGGATAAAAAAGTATAAAAAAGAAATGGTTAGAAAGGCAAATGTTTTATTGTATCTATTTTATCAAAAGAAGGTAAATAAATGAACAAGCAAGTGTATCATGAAATATCTGGTGGTGACAAGGACTGTGGTGAAACACAGCACAGGTGAGACAGGACAGGGAGAGATGGAAAGGAGGTACTATTTTCAAAAGGCCTCTAAAAAGGTCACATTTAAACAAAGACTTGAAGAGGTGTAAGAGGCGCCCATGCCAATTTTCCTTTTCCTTTTAAATTTAATTCATGATGTATCTGGAATTTTTTTGATGTATGTTGCAAAAGAGGTTCTGAATTATCTTCCCCAAGTTGTATACAATTATCTCAATATCCTTTCTTTCTCCTCTATTTTCAAGACCACTGTTATTATGTTGGGCCAATTTCTTCAGTCACTAGTATGTTTCAACTTGTGTGTTTTTCTGACAGTCCACTCTATTTCAATTGTTCTTTTTTGGATGACTTCAAAAATTCCCCAATTCTTGCTGATTCCTCCTCTTTAGTATTTCTAAATCATGCTTTCCAGTCCCAAAATTAATTTCCTTTCGAAGAAAAATACTTTCTTGTGTTGTTGTTGTTGAGAATATATGCAGCACACCATACACACATTCAGCAGTTTCCAAGGTACAGCTCAGTGACACTGGTGACATTCTGTAGGTGTGCAACCTTCCCATCCTCCTTTCTGAATTGTTCCTGCCCCTTTAACATCAATTCACTGGCCCATAAGGCTCCTATCTAATCTTCCAAGTTGTTGTCAATTTGATCCCATGTACAGAACCTTAAAAGAGCATGATGCCACATGAGCTGAACATTTACATTAGGTAGATATACTCCTTGCAAAGAACAATCATGGGAGAAGGGTTGTATATGCACAGGGAGACAGTTCATGGGGCAGGAGTGCATGGATAGAAGGACACAGGGAAGAGGTAACTATGGGGAGGAAATGGGAGGGGAGCTGTTGCATTATGGGAAATTGCAGTCAATGTCATGAGGCAAACTGTATGTGAAAGGCTGTATGGAAAATGAATTTGCTCTGTAAACTGTCACCCAAATCACAATAAAAATTTAAAAAAAACAAGAGTATGAGGCCAAAATCAATCTTCTCTTTGTATCTCCAACACCTCCCAAAGAGCCTTCCCCAAATAGTTTTTAACACAGTTTTGTAGAAGGAATAAATGAATGAATTCAAAACTCATTTAGATATTTTTACTCTTATTAAGGCCTAAGGGCCCCTCACTCTTTTAAATAGGTCACAAATGGTAGACCTACTCACTCCCACACACACACATGCTCCAAGCATATCCCCACAAATACACTATGACATTCAGTTTCAGATACAAGGTGCATAGTGCTTCAGTGCTTTACTACAAGTGAACGATAAACACCGTGGCTTTGTTAATAACTGAGGAATAAACAGAATCTCTCAAAGAGGCAGAGCCATTTCTATAATAAAGGATGCAGTTTATACTTGAATTACTTTATTTCCTTTATGGGATTAAAAATCTTCATGGTCGGTCTTTATCATGGTCAAGCCATACGCTTTTTCAGTTCTGTGTTTACACCATCTGTGCATGCAGATTCCTCCAAAAACCAAGAAGACCAGTGAGAGGGGAGCAAGTGCAATCTCCCAGGAGAAGGTAGAGGCTGTGGAAAGAACAGAGGCAGGTCAGGGGGACAGTTTCTCACCATCATATTGGATAGTGAGGGCCGACAACAGGGAAAAAGGGATGGGAGTTTGTTAGTTTTTCCTGATATACGAGGTTTGGTTTTCAGAAAGTATATCCTTTAAACAAGGATCAGGTATATTTAACAAAAATGTCTGTGGCATTGGAGAAACAAGCAGGGTAGAAAAAAATCCATCAGAAAGACAGAATGCAGAGGAGGAAGGCCGGGCCTCAAGGATCTAACCTGTTCCCGCAGTTGGGAAATGGGCATTTAGTAAGTCATTTGTTTAGACCTTGATTAGCCAACTATGATTAACCAACTATGATGCTGTCATGGTATGGTTTCCCTTTTCCAGTGAGCCTGGATGTCATGAGGATAAAACAAAGTAACAAAAGAAAATAAAACAAACATTGAATAGGAGCTTTAAGTTCAGGCATAAGACTGTTTAGATCTAGCTATTCTATATTCTATTTCTTGATATTTCTGTCTTATGAAAATATAGAAGAAAAATGAAGAGGGAAAAAAAGTAAACAAAAGAACACAGGCTTTATTGGTGCTGAGGCCAGAATTAGAAATTTTTTAACTGTCATTGCCATAGTCTATTTAGATTCCAGGAATCAACACAATCTCAGCCAAATTTCCCAAATTATTCTTAAACTTAAAATCCATGGGGTGGGGGCACAGGGGAGAATAAGGAAAGCTGTAATTTCTGAGTAGCCACTGGATGCGCATTGCAGTCCTGGTGAAAGTGCCCTCAGTCTGCGCTCCCTGGGATCAGTCATGGCCAGGCCAGTGAATGATAGGCAGGGGGGAGGGCTTTGTTAATGAAGATTTTACATCCTCCCAGGGTCAGCACCAGACAACCACAGTGCTCCTTTGGCTGATGGTCTGAATCCCAGTGCTTGGATTCTGCTTTTGTTGAATCTTCCATGGTCAAGTCTGAGCAGCCCTCAGCTGTTCCCACCAAGCCTGTCATAGGAATTTCTGAAATACCATCTTTTGCATGTCTGTCCTAGGTGTCAGTGGTTCTCAAGCTTTAATATGAGTGGCTGGTGAGTTCAAACCGCCAGCCTTCTGGTTAGCAGTCAGATGCCTTACGTGCTATGCCACCTGTTGTTGTTGATGTTATGTGCCATCGAGTCAAACCCGACTCATAGCGACCCCTTCTTGGGTTTCTGAGGCCGTATCACTACGGAAGTAGGATTGCCCAACCTTCCTTCTGAGGAGTGGCTGGTGGGTTTGAACCGCCAGCCGTCTGGTTAGCAGGCAAGTGCCTTAGCCACCATGCTACCGGAGCTCCCACTATGCTACCAGAGCTCCCACTATGCTACCAGAGCTCCCGCTATGCCACCAGAGCTCCCAAATATGACAGAAACTTGCTAAATTGCCTTTGGTCAAACCCTGGGAGAGTTTGACTCAGTGATAAGGGAAAGGGATCTGCAGTGTTAATTTACTGACCCAGGTGAATCTGATGCCAGTGATCCACCCACTGTGTTTGTAGAAATGAAACTGTTGCCGTCGGGGTTGTCATCCTCTGGCCTAAGGCGTGACCACATCCTCAGCTGTCTGGTTTTAAGTATGCCTGCAGCTGCCTCCCCAACAAAACACAGAATCATGAAGCAATTGGAGCTTGTGTGATGGCAGCAGAGGCATAAGTGAGATTCTGGCTGGGGATCATTTTGGCCTGTCTGTTGTTATCTGATCTGGATGTTGACAGAGACTAAATAAATTTGTCTCACTGTTCTGCTCAATATTTAAACATTCAGGAAAATGAATTTGGTCAAAAATGATCATTTGAATATTTCTTTTCTTCTGTTTGTTGTTGTTGTTATGTGCCATCGAGTCTGACCGGACTCACAGCAACCCCTCCTTGGCAGTCTCTCTAACGAAGTAGATTGCCCAACCTTCCTTCCGAGGAGTGGCTGGTGGGTTGGAACCTCCAGCCTTCTGGTTACCAGCCAAGTGCCTTAGGCACTACACTACCAGAGCTCCTAATTACATTAGTATTCCTCTTCTTTAATGAGAAGGGAGGAGTATCAGGAGTACAGTTGTTAAAGCATTCGGCTGGTAACCAAAAGTTCGGCTGCTTGAATCCACCAGCCGCTCCGCGGGAGGAAAGTGAGGCAGTCTGCTTCCATAAAGACTTATCATCTTGGGAACCCTATATGGTAGTTCTGCTCTGTCCTAAAGGGTCACTATGAGTCGGAATAGACTCGATGGCAGTAAGTTTGGCTTTTATTAGTTAAATAGGCATTGGGTTGTTTTAGTTGTAGACCTGTAAATTATTTCCTGTTGATGAAGGATTTCAACCCTAAAGCTGCCCTGAACCCTAGGTCTCTCCCAGTCCCCTGCTCCCGGAAGATGATGACTCTCAACTTCAGGATGAAGAGTGCATCTGCCTCATCTAAAGACTAAGTGAGGAAAGCTGATCCTGGTGGTCCAGGGCAAAACCCATTGTGGACATAAGGGTGTATGAAAGTTTATCACAGAGTAATTTTATCTTTACTTTCCAAAATCAGCTTGCTGTTAATTTTTTTATTTGGGTAAAACCTTCCAGGCCCAGCCTTCACCCTTCCATATAAATCTTAAAGAATCAGAGGCTTTTTTTCAGTGCTCTGCTAGAGGAAATGCAAAGGACTTTCCAAGTAATCATCCGGAAAGCTAGTAGCTTTGCCAATCATCCACCGAGCGCTAAAGGTGTTATTTTCCACCTTAATGTCCCCAGATACTTACCTTCTTTGACCCTGGTACGTAGTGTCCGAAAAATCTTTTTATTAGTGACAGAACATTTAAAATCTGTGTTCAAATCCTCTCTTGCGACTGGATCAAAAACCAATGGCACTTCAATATAGTTCTCATTATTTTCTGAATATTCCCTGAATGAGGAAAACTTTACTTAAATATGATGTTTGAAATGCAAGTTTGTCTTATAATTTAGACATTCAAATATTTTCAATTAGAAGCATCCTTTGACCAGAAGGGAGCTCTGGTGGCATTGTGCCTAAGGCATCTGAGTGCTAACCAGAAGGCTGGCAGTTCAAACCCACCAACCATTCCTTGGAAAGAAGTTTGGGCAATCTACTTCCATAGTGATACTGCCTCGGAAACCCAAGGAGGAGTCACTATGAGTTGGATCCAACTCAACAGCAGTGAGTTGGGTTTGTTTTTTTTAACCAGAAAAACTAGATGGTACCCAGCTACCACTACTGACCATTCTGATCAGAAACACAACAGATGGACCCTGACAGAACAGAAGAAAAAGGCAGACATAACTTGAATTCTTAAAAAGTTCAGCATTATTGAACCAGTTGAGACTAGAGGATTTCATGAGATATCACTCTAAGATATTCTTTAAACCTTGAACTAAAGCTATCCTCTGAGGTCATCTTTTAGCAAAATAACAGATTTGTACACAAAATGAAGAATACTACCTATGCCTATGTGCTCCATTAAAAAAAAAAAAAAAAGTCTATATGAGACCAAAAAGTCAACAATTACTCTAACGTAAAAATGAGAAGAAACTTGAGCAGGGAAGCTAGGGTGCTGGAAATGGAACAGTTAGAATATAATTTAAAAGAATATTAACACATTGTGAAAAAAAATGTAAATAATGTCTCTGAACTCTTTGTATGTTGTTGTTGTTATGTGCCATTGAGTTGGACCTGACTCATTGCGACCCCTCCTTGGGTTTCTGAGGCGGTATCACTATGAAAGTAGATTGCCCAACCTTCCTTCCGAGGAGTAGCTGATGGGTTTGAACCGCCAGACTTCTGGTTAGCAGTCAAGTGCCTTAGGTACTACGCTACCAGAAACTGTCAAATGGTAACCTAATTTGTGCAAAATTTCATTAAAAACACAAAATATTATTTTTAAAAAGGAGAAGACCATCCTTTGTGCTTAAACTGATTTAAAGATTCACCAAATTGAAAGCAAACACCACTTACATGTGTTACTTCTTAGGAGAATTTTAAGCCTATCCTGAAGGCAAGAATGTCATGGAAAATGCTGGTCATTGAAATGGAAGATGTATTACAGTAAGAACTTACAGTAACCAGTTTTTTCTAGATAATGGAAAATTTATTTTTTAGGGCCTTTGATTAACAGCCAAATAAGAACAAGTGATGGGACTACAAATGTCTAATTTTGGAAAACTCCACTGTACCACCAATAAATAATTTGCATATTTAAGGTTAGGGACTTTCCAGAACTCCAGTACTGAACAATCCCATTTTCCTCTCCATTGCTGACTCTCCTTATGGAAACTCAATTTCTAATAGAAGGTCTGCAGACAGACCAGGAGAAGGACTTAGTCAGGATAACATTCGTAATGTTATGGAGTCTGGACTTACACACTTCCCTACTATCCGTATGAATTAAAAACATTCTTGTTGTGGATCCACTGGGGGTATTTTATCTCTGGGGAAGAAAATATGATCCCTTAAGTAAATGAAGAGTATGAAAAGTTGATGGGAAGGCATGTGAACTGTGGCCAAGCCTTTCACAATACTTGCAAGCAAATGATTGTGCTAACCACACATAATTTCTATGTAACAAATTGCATGTAGAAAGACATTTTTTTAATATAATGGCTGGCAGCAAAAATATATGTTAATTCAAAGTATGAAAACTGTAATTAAAAAATTACTTAGAAATTTGGAATGTTTAATGTCGTCCTTCCTCACACTTAAATGATTCTCATGAGATCTGATTGTTCTAGTTTCAGAGTGAGAAAACACGTTCTAGAAATGAGTGTTTATGAGAACAGAATTCTTTCTTTTAATATCAACCTTCCTTACATTCTAAGTCCTCCATAGTTCCCCAAGAAGCAGAGGAGGCAGAATAGATACTGTGGTTAGGCCCAAAATTCTTTCAAGGATTTATGAAAATTTTTCACAGTCAGGTTGCAGTGTGGGAGATGGAAATGCATTAGATTCAAAATACAAAAAGTGAAGTATAGAAATCAAGTAATAAATATTTAATTACACATTTACAAAAGGCAGTATCAATATCAACTAGTTAACTGGAACTAACCTCTTGTACGGTAATATATAACATTTGATTCACAAGAACAACTGCTAATTCTCAGCAAAACTCAAAGTTTTAGATTCTAATAGTCCATAACTATAGAACCAAAAATATTAATTTTTATGCAGTATGTATGTGATATTTATAAACTTGAGATGGCGTTATCCCTAAAAGGAAGAGCGAGTCCTACAGAGGTCATACAACAGTTCTGTCCAGAAGACTCTTTTAAGGTGACAAAGAACTGGAGTCCACTTACTTGTCTGGCCCCTCAGTCACTCGGCCACTTGGATAGGCACTGTCTATGTTGGTGTCATTGGCCGTCCACCACACAATGGAGGTTGATTTTTTGCCAACTCCCAGGAACACCTTACATGGGATTGTCAGTTTTGACCCTGTATACAGCAAGGCACACACATAAACTATCAAACCCAACACGGAAAAGTAGCTCCCTATGTCCACCAGCAAATCTGCACTGTGGACTCTTCCCTCTCCTGTCAAATAATCCTCATCAGCTCATTCTTTTCTTACAAGGAAATTTCGTTTTCTCAAATTATCTTAGTCACACAGAGCTTAGTATCTATCAAGTGCTCTCCATTTCCATCAACTGGTCTGATGGCAGATAAAAACCTGGGGATATGTGAACTGAAATGACCTTATAAGGCCACTCATCTCATGCAGTGCATTCTGATTCAAGCACTGCCTTCCTCCACAGTTTAATCTTTTTACCTCAAAAATTCTAATCAAAGTCTGAATTCTTTCTTTCTTACTATTGGGGGGGGTCTCGATGTTAAATTTTCCACTGGATTCCATAAATAAATAAATAAATAAATATAGAACTCACCATTCCCAGATGGCTTTTACTTAAGATTAAGAGCTCTGATGCCTTAGTCCCTAAGGCATTTGACTGCTAACCAGAAGGCAGGCAGTTCAAACCCACCAGCCACTCCTCGGAAGGAAAGTTGGGCTATCTACTCCATAGTGACACCAACTCGGAAACCCAAGGAGGGTTTGCTATGAGTTGGATCCTACTAAACGGCAGTGAGTTTGGGTTTTTTTTTGTTTTTTTTTGGTTTTAAAAAGCCGCTGTATGGTAAATGAGTGGTGCCCTTTGCAGTTGTGCAATATTATGACACTGGATTCCCTGCTCTAATAATTATAAGTGATTTTTTTCTAGGTTACCAAAGGGAAAGATGGGAGGAGAAAAGCACGAATCCTTCCCATTCTTTTCTTCCTCATGTATAATGTTTCTCTATGGAATGATCTTTAATGAACCTGGCACCACTTTAGACTCAGAATGCCTGGTTTTCTCCCTTGTTCAACACTCTTATGACCTCAAACATTTCCCTTAGGTAAGAGCAATCCATTAAATCAGAAATCCTGTGACTCCGCTGTGTACTTCAGCTTATTAAAAGCCACCTAGTAAGACAACTCCGGGCGGATGGCAGTGTGAGCAGGTCTAGATTGTGACCTCCCAACATATGCACCAAGAAATACAGCAGGAAATCTGTGCTCAATCCTGGGGCACTCTGAATCAGTGAACATAAGACAGCAGCAGGAAACTGCAGATGAACTTGAGTCAATAGGTCAATGATAAGTTTCACATGATAGGAACACCACTTCTCCCACTATACCTGCCTCTCCCCATTCCAGAGTTGAGCAGACTGTGAAGTAAGGATATAGTGCCTGCAGTGAAGTCCACTCCTCCAGGCTACAAAATACTTGCCTACCAAACCCACAAGCCACTCCTCAGAAGGAAGGTTGGGCATTCTACTTCTGTAGTGACACTACCTCAGAAACCCAAGGAGGGGTCGCTATGAGTTGGGTCCAGTTCCACAGCAGTGACTTTGTTTTTTTGGTTTGGGAAAGGACCAGAGTTCAGGATCTGAAATTAACAAGACAGATCTCTCAGACATTCCATTTGGGTGAGGTCACACCTCCCCTCCCCAGTGAAATAGAAAGCTTGATTGTGCTTGCCTGGATCTCCAGTTCTGAGAGAAGTGAGTCTTCACCAAATGGGATTGTTGTTGTTAGGTGCTGTCAAGTCAGCTTTGACTCAGAGCAACCCTATGTGCAACAGAATGAAACACTGCCTGGTTCTAGGCCAGCCTCACAATCCTTGCTATACCTGAGCCCCTCCTTGCAGCCACTGTGTCAATCCACCTCATTGAGAGCCTTCCCCTTTTTCGTTGACCCTCAACTTTACCAAGCATGATATCTTTGTCCAGGGAATGATTTCTGACAACACGACCAAAGTAGGTGAGAAGTGAGTGGCCATTCTCACTTCCAAGAAGCATTCTGGCTGCACTTCTTCCAGGACAGATCTGTTATTTCTTCAGGTAGTCCATGGCACTTTCAGTATTCTCCAATACCACAACTCAAAGTATCAACTCCTCTTCAGTCTTCCTTATTCACTGTCCAACTTTCACATGCATATGAGGTGATTGAAAGTACTTTGTCTTGGGTTAGGTGCACCTTAGTCTTCAAAGAGACATCTTTGCTATTCAGCACTTTAAAGAAGTCTTTTGCTGCAGATTTGTCCAGTGCCATACATCGTCCGATTTCTTGACTACTGCTTCCATTGGTGTTGATTGTGGAACCAAGTAATATGAAATCTTTGATGTTTTGGTTACCTACTGCTGCTCTAACAAAAATACAGCAGGTGGAATGGCTTTAACAAAAAAGAGTTTATTCTTACAATTTTTGGAGGCGAGGAGTCTAAGTTCAAAGTGCCAGGCTCTAGGGGCTGGGTGAAAGCCCCTTGACCTTGAGCTTCAGCTCTGCCTCCTGATCCTGGCCCTTTGAAGCTGGAGGCTTTTTTTTACTCAGGCAGCTGCTGGGTGCTGAGGCTGACAAACACAAGGTCAACAAGTAAAAAGGCACAGTACTGATATTACCAAACCACATGGCAGGCCATTGATTCAAGTCTAAAAAAAGTCCCAAGATTGGCAAGGCAACATGGCAGGCTGCTGAACAACGACTCAGCTACATGCAGGGTTCAAGCATCCCATATGCTAGAGACCTTCCTCAAAGCTGCTTCTTATACACTGGAACCAAACTACATCTCCAAAGCAGCTACTGAGCTGCTCCAGTAGATGACACCATGGAACTGATTGCCAATCTCACCAAGGGGAATAACTACATCCAGCTACCCAGCCACTCAACTAGGCCCAGCCAAGTTGACATACAACCTTAACTACCACATTTGACAACTTCAATCTTTTCTCCATTTATCATGATGTTGCTTATTGGAAGAGTTGTGAGGATATTCATTTTCTTTATGTTGAGGTGTAATCTATACTGCAGACTACAGTCTTTAGTCTTCATCAATAAGTGCTTTAAGTCATGTTCACTTTCAGCAAGCAAAGTTGTGTAATGTGAATATCGCAGGTTCTTCATGAGTCTTCCACCAATCCTGATGCCACGTTCCTCTTCATATAGTACAGCTTCTCGGATTATTTGCTCAGCATACAGCTTGCATAAGTATGGTGAAAAGATACAACATTGACGCACACCATTCTTTATTTTAAACCACTCAGTGTCCTACTGTTCTGTTCAAACAACAGCCTCCTAATCTATGAACAGATTTCTCATGAGCACAATTAAATGTTCTGGAATTCTCATTCTTCTCAACATTATCCATAATTTGTTATGATCCACACAGTCAAATGCTTTTGCATAGTCAATAAAACACAAGTAAACATCTTTCTTGTATTCATCATTTTCAGCCAAGATCCATCTGACATCAGCAAGGATATCCCTTGTTCCACATCCTCTTCTGAATCGTTTTCATTTCTGGAAGTTCCCTGTCAATATACTGCTGCAACCATGTTTTGAAAAATCTACAGCAAAATTTTACTTGTGTGTGATATTAATGATGTTGTTGTTGTTATGTGCCATTGAGTTGGCCCGACTCATAATGAACCCTCCTTGGGTTTCTGGGGCAGTTTCACTATGGAAGTAGATTGCCCAACCTTCCTTCCAAGGAGTGGCTGGTGGGTTTGAACCGCCAGCCTCTGGTTAGCTGCCAAGTGCCTTAGGCACTATGCTACCAGAGCTCTGTTGGATCACTTTTCTTTGGAGTGGGTACCAATATAGATCTCTTCCACTCAGTTGGCCAGGTAGCTGTCCAAATTTCTTGACATAGATGAGTAAGTGCCTCCAGTTGTTGAAACAGTCCATTTGTTGAAACATCTTAATAGAGATTTGTTGAACATCTTAATGGGGATTCAGCCAATTCCTGGAGGCTTGTTTTTCACCAACTCCTTCAGCGCAGTTTCAACTTCTTCCTTCAATACCATTGGTTCTTGATCATATGCTACCTCCTGAAATAGCTAAACATCAACCAATTCTTTTTGGTACAGTGACTGTATACTCCTCCCATCTTATTTTGATGCTTACTGCATCATTCAATATTTTACCCATAGAATCTTTCAGTATTGCAACTCAGGTCTTGAATTTTTTTTTTTCTTCAGTTCTTTCAGCTTGAGAAATGCAGAGCGTGTTCTTCCCTTTTGATTTTCTAACTCCGGGTCTTTGCACATTTTATTATAATAATTGACTTTGTCTTCTTGAGCTGCCCTTTGAAATCTTCTGTTCAGCTCTTTTATCTTGTCATTTTTTCCATTCCCTTTAGCTACTCTCCATTCAAGAGCAAGTTTCAGAGTCTCTTCGGACATCCATTTTGTTCTTTTCTTCCTTTCCTGTCTTTTTAAACCTTTTGCTTTCTTCATCTATGATGTTCTTGATGTCATCCCAGAATTCCTCTGGTTTTCAGTCATCAGTGTTCAATGCATCAAATTCATTCTTCAGATGGTCTCTAAATTCACAAACAAAACAAACAAAAAAAAAAGGAGTCATATTCAGGCTCTTGCAGACTTTTTAAAATTATATTCAGCTTCAACTTGAACTTGCATATGAGCAGTTAGTGATCTGTTCCACATTCAGCTCCTGGCTTTATTTTGGCTGAAGATGTGGAGGTTCTCCATCACTTCTTTGCATAGATGTAGTTGATCTGATTTCTCTGTATTCCATCTGCCAAAGTCCACATGTACAGCTGCCATTTATGTTGCTGAAAAAAGGTATTTGCAATGAGTAAGTCATTGGTCTTGCAAAAGTCTATCATGCGATCTCCAGGCTCACTTCTATCACCAAGGCCATATTTTCCAAATTCTGGTGATTCTTCTTTGTTTCCAACTTTTGCATTCTAATCACCAGTAATGATTGGCACATCTTGATTGCATGTTTGGTCAATTTCAGACTGCAGAAGTTGGTAAACATCTTCAATTTCCTTGTCTTTGGCTTTGGTGGTTGGTGTGTAAATTTAAAAATAGTAGTATTAACTGATCTTCCTTGTAGGTAGATGGATATTATCCTATCACTGACATCATTGTAT